TTTAAAAGATAAATAAGCTTGATTTTGTGCATGTTTCCTTTGATTCAGCCTGAAATTGTGGTTGGTCTCTGGTCTGTTTTTTTTACCTTGTTAAAACCCTGTTATTTGAACCTGATCTTTAAAATGGGTAATTAGTCGTGGTGGTGATAAAACTAAGCACTTTCATAAAGATAGCAGTAAAATGCTTTTATGGATCATTATGCACAGATTTACAATAGAATACAGGTTTAAAGAATAGATGATGAGACAACCCAACACTGCATTTCTACAGAATATCGTGAAAGAATGTCTCATGGTCAAAATGAGACGGCTGCAGGCGCTTTGCATCCTATTGGAGCGTGTTTCTGCTAGACTTTGATTAATGGGTTAGGAAAGTGAGGAATAAGTTTAGGCCACTACAAAGTTTTTAATTCATTTTGGGCGAGCTATTGCCGAGCGTCTGTCAATTTTTCCATTTTTATTTATGGGACAGGAGCCTATGCAACAATTTTTACGCAGCAATTTTTGGATTTTTTTTATGTTTTGGTGCAAAATATAACAAGCAAGCCCAATATATCCTCCATTAAAGCTGAGGTACATAACTTTTTTGTTTTTATGAGTCACTATTTGACTCTTTGAGCTGAGATCTGTTTAGCTGAGTGAGGGTGGTCCACACTTTTTCACTTCTGTCTGAAAAAGATGATCCTACTGTATGATGAGACATAGATCAAAAAGACATGCGTGTGAACATAATCTGTGCAGTTTTGAATTTCACTAAGTCCTCTAGGTTTAAATCACTGTTTTTAATAAAAAGTTGGTTTGTATGTTTATTGTAAGGAACTTTGAGAATAACCCTAAGTCCTTCCGGAGTTTTAATCAAAGGCAGTATGGTTGTTTTACAGTTTCCCCAAACTTCAATATACTAATTTAGACACGACATTACAAGTGAGGTATACAATATTTTTGATGCCTTTTACATTGAGCACATTTCTTAATGGCACCAACGCAGCTGGCAACTTCTGTACTTAAATAACTAATGTTGTCATGGGGGAGGTGAATGAAGGACTCAAAATGCAGGAAATGCCTAAATAAAAATAATTTAATGATGAAAAAACAAAAGGGTAGATGAAAACAAACTCAAAAATCCAAAACCACAGGGAACCAGGAACGGAACCGAACAGAACGGACAAGGACATGAACAAGACAATACAATGAACCAGCAACAAGAGGAAAGGAGCACTGGGTACATATAGACACTGACACAGGTGAAACACATCAGGGCGGGGCAGACAATCAACATAGTGGAACAAGACTGGAAGTACAACTAAAACCAAACTTATGTCAAAATAAAACCAAATCCACACCATGACAAATGTGGGGTTTCCAGGAAATTGTTTCATTCTACTGGACAATTTCATTTCAAATATCATCAATAGCTATTTTCACAATTTTTTTTCTTTCCAAATAGATTTGATTAGTTCCATTTATTGAGCTTTGAAAGTGAAGTACCCCAGCTTTAACGTATGGGAATGCAGCGTTCAACATAGCATAATGAATAGTATAGTTTTTCTCTTGCTTATCATGCACTAATTTAAAAAAAAATAAAATAAAAAAAGCCATTCACTCACACGCAGAAGCAGCAGCAGCAGAGTGGAAATTCACCCCAAAATGGCTCTAGGGGGGGTAGACATTTTGGAGAGGAGGCTTTTTGTCCACGTCAGGCCTAATTCTAATTACGGCTTCGTTAATTAGCGAATCTCGACAGCCGACTCACTTGGAAGCGTGCCACTTAGCTCAGCGCTTTCTGTTCCGTCTTACCCCTTCTGCCCAATCACGCCTCAGCCTCTCCTGTCTCTCTCCGTCGCTGTGGCGTCTTGACAGCTCGTAAGCCAGAGCTCTGTATCAAAGCAGACCGCTTCCTCGTCGCCCTTAACCAAGCAACTTTCACTTCAAATTGCTTCTGGAGGAGATAAGCATGGGGTGTAAGGCGGCTGAGGAGAGAGGGGGCGGCGTGGAGGTTTATTGGATGGAATGCAAAAATGGAATGTAATTGATGGAGCAGGTAGATAGGCATTCTTCTGCTGTAGGCTGCTATCTGGAGGAATAAAGATGGGTAATAAGACAAGCGAAAGCATATGGCACATACTGAAATCACCGCTTGCACATTGGGAAGGGACGACGATAAACTTTTGCCGAAACTAATACTCCTCATATTAAGGGCCGTACCCTAATACATCAAATCAATGTCTTCATGAAAGAAGAATGGAACCATCTGGAAGTCTGTTTCTGCCAAAATGGTGGTTGGTATTTTCTGAAATGTGCTAAGACAGCTAATTAGACTTGGGCTCTTGTGATTGTGTTTTCGAGTGTATGTTGTCATGTTGGCGTAACAGCTTGTTTTGACTTGGGCGCTATTAGGACATGTTGAAACGCAAGTAAACCTGCCGTCTTCTCTTTGGCCTGAAGCCCGACCTCAGATCTCAGGATGTTACCCTGAGACACATGACCACAATGCACCATCCGCCTCGAGCCGACTACTGGGACTACATATAATGCTGACGACTCTGGCTCTTTCATGACTCTTTCATCTTCACCCATTTAGTGAATTTGAGCATTACTATTTTCATTACGGGCCCATGTCTGTGTGTTTTTGTGTTTCCTCTCTTTACAGAAGACCACGCTCGTGAATCCTGAACTCTGATTGGCTGGTCGGGAGATGATGGATCGTGATGCCTGGGTGCTGATTGGGCAGAAGCAGAGGCCGTCCTCCAACCACGCTGTAGTCAGTGGGCCTGCCCTTTGGTTCAGTGACCTGTGACTAAAGAAACTTTATTTTAGATTACCATTTTGGTTTTGTCAACTGCTTACTCGTTTCATAGGTTATTTATTTACTGTATTTTGTAAAGACTTGATCCTATTTTGTAACCCATTTCATCTATTTTGTCACCTGAATAAATTATGATTTTAGTTACCATTTCTACATCTTGGTTTTAAATGTTACTTCCTTACACCTAAGCTGAGCCGGGTCGTAACAAAATGTGAGCTCGTCTGAGATGGGGTCAAAACTAAGTTAAAACTAACTTTGTCCAAAACTCAGTATATATTTTTTGATAGAGTAGTTATGTTTGTATTTCTTTTAAGAAGATTTGTCTTTGGTGAACAAGAAGGCTCTCTCCGGATCAGTTCCTGAAGTAGCCAAATTTTGAAAAGTCATTTAAACCTGAATAACAAATTGAAACTATGATTGGTCTATTTAGAATCCAATGTCCATCATTATTATTGTTACACCAGACAAATACAGAAGCTATATCCACATTTCCATCACAACAACTTTTTCTGCCTATCTCAAACTCTCATAGTCAAATTCTCATCGTGGCTCGCTGTTCAGTGCAACTCCGCTCTCTCGATGCAGCATAAATGAAGTTGCCAGAGGGAGGAGAAAAGAGGAACAAGATCACATTATTATCTGCCATTTCCTTATTGGAAATTGCTTTTTTTTTTTTTTTTTAAATCAACAAATCCTTTTAAGTTTGTTATGACCCTATACTGCCCTGCTGTTATTTACACTCTCAGTAAGAATGTATAGGCAATTTGTATTTGCATTTTTGCTGCTGTCAGCGCTCCTCATTATATTTTCAGCCCAAAACACGAGCAAATAACCCAAAGATGGAGTGAGTTGAAGCAGGAAGTGCACTGTTAGCTGCTCCCAGAGGTCAATGCGGCTTCGTATGCATTATAATGAAAGCACAGTGATTAAGGGATTTATTTTAATACACATGACAAACACAAAGCTCGAGTGATGCCTCAGAGACTTCCCATCTCTATGAAGATGGGTAGAATAGAAATACTCATACACTCATTTTAATTTCAGGGTTAGGGTTGGGGTTAGTCATTAGAGAATGATCTATAATAGTCATAAAACCTCTTCTCAGCCACTTCTGTTAAAGTCTATGTAGGGGTTAAAAAAGATGAATCAATTACTATATTGGTTTACAACTAATTTACAATACACACACATATACATTTTATAATTACACATAAGTATACACAATATCACAAATAAATAGCATCCATACATACACACACAAACACATAGTACACAGGCAAACTACATGCACCAAATCATATAATCATTATTTATATTATTATTATTATTATTATTATTATCATGGATTGTTGTTTGTGGTCCCATCCCTGGTTCTATGGGCCAGTCCCAATACCCACACTGCCCCCTACACTCCTCTACCAAGTGTGCATTCGTTTGTAGTGCACGCAAGGGTTTGAGTGCGCAGGTTACAGGCGTGCAACAAAAGGCGGAATTGGGACAGTGCAGGTTACGTCATTGACTAGTCAGATGGTCATTTTCAGACCTAAACTTTATAAAATTAAAGGTCATTTCTTCCGACCCTGGGAAACAAAAGTAGTAGTTAATGAGTTGCTCCACACACGTTAAAATAAATGTTGATTGGTTATTTGTAGTTTGAGATAGCTGTGTAATTTTAAGTTAAATGTGGGTAACTAACTGTTATCTGGTAAGCTTTTATACATTATAAGTTTATTGTAGTAAGTGTGACGTTTAAATTGAATGTTATATGAAAGCTTGGTTTTAAAAAGTTATGAAATTGTTAGCATAGAATGTCCGTAAATACATTTATGCTGCTTTCCAAGTAACATAGCAAAACTTACACACATACAGCATAAATATTTCAAAAATTACACTTAAATGCATTTTCCCGACGTTTTGGTGTGTACCGCAAAGAATGATGGGCAATATCCTTCGCCAGAGTCCGCTTAGATGCAGACTTCGGCAAAGTGTGGATCAGGGGCGCAAAGGGGGCGGGGCCAAAGACCTCCCTGGAGAATTGGAACACCCTACGCACTCGCACCCATCATCGGAAACGCGCAAATGAGGGGCGCGAGGGTGGAAGTGCGAGTACTGGGACAGGGTCTAACTGAGACTAAGAAACCACCATTGTCCAACTATGTCCATTGTAGGATTATGGCATGTGTAAGATTGGGACTGGTGTTGGACTGGTGTTGGACTGGTGGAGGACTGGTGGGGGACTGGTGGGGGACTGGTGTGGGACTGGTGGGGGACTGGTGTGGGACTGGTGTGGGACTGGTGGGGGACTGGTGGGGGACTGGTGGAGGACTGGATTGGGACCGATGAGGGGGAGGGGGTGAGGCAGGATGTGTGCTGTTTGCGACCTCTTCCTCCTGAGCCAACTGTAGCCTCATTGTTCTGTCGCCGCGGTAATGACTTCACTATGCTTCCTGTCACATGACCATGACTCGACTGACCCTGAAACAGATGCAGCGTTTGACCTCAGCAGAGAAAACACGTTTCCCTGATGACAAAAAAAGTTTTGAGATGCTTTGTTCCAAATATAATGGCTGCATGTGAAGTTGGAATGTTCAGAATACATCTAAATGCGTCGGCCCACTTCAGGCAGTCCGTCACAGAGATTCTGTTTATTAAAATAATCAAACAAGGCTTCAGTTGAAACAATTTAGAAACTGCATTTACTTGACATAAAAGTGGCACCACATTCATCAGTTAAGCCCATCGCATCTCAGAAGCTAAGCAGGGCAGTGCCTGGTTAGTACTGTGATGGGAGACCTCTGGTAACAGAAGGGGCTACACTAGGGCGGATGTAAAGTGCCAAATTGTGTCCTTAGGCAAGACACTTCACACACATTACCTAGTATGTGTTTGTGTGTGTGACAGAATTCTGGTGGTTGGAGGGGCCTATGGCACAGATGAGTTGCCTTACTTATGTCGGTAAAGAGTAGATAGAAGTGTAGAGTAAATGAATGTTCCCATGTGAAGTCTCCAGAAAAGTGCTACATTTGCATTAACAGAGTGAATGTCAGAGGTATTACGTTTTATTGTGGAGATAATTTCATATGCTTTAAAAGTAGCAAGTAGTAGTAGCATCAGATGGTGAAAACAAAGGCTATTTCTCTCGCAATGTTTATGAGCAAAAGCTGAATGTGCTTTTGTTGGTTCATTATTTCCTGTATCCAGGGACAATACAGTGACCTGCTTATGCCTCTGGTACAACAACGCTGCAGCACACCCACCACTATACATTTGACTGTTGGGGCATGAATAAAGGAAACGTACATCTGTAGCACCACAGTGACATGCTTTCACAGTTCCATACCCTGCGCTTGTTGTTCTAGGGCACCAATAAAAGCAGCGTGTGTCTGACAGCACCCGAGCCCAGGCTGCAGCTTTGTTCACAATCCTGGGATCATGAGAGATCTTGTCATAAAACTGTGCTCTTAGTACGACAACTGCATCATCCTTGTGTCCCAGAAATCAGAATCAAGGCTTTTTCCACAAGAATTTGACATTGATATCTTTGTAGAACTCTGCGTTATAAGGTGAAACAAAACTTTCTGAATGCATGTATATACTTTGCCATTTGATTTTTGTTTTTATGAATAGACAACTTGTTAGAGGGTTTGACTATAGTGTTTAGTTTCTGCTTCTAATGGTGATGGTGAGTTCTGTTTATTGCAACCTGATAAGTGCAAATACTGAGGATCTGAGGTCTGGTTCATAAGGCACAAGTAAATCCGAAACATGGAGGTGTCAGACTGAACAGCCATCTTCCCTTTCTGGTTTGATCATGAGTTCTGTTGTGCCAGTGAAAGTAATGCGTCATTCAAGGGACGTGATTTTCCATTGTAATGAATGAGCAAACCATGACGCTATGACTCCATCAAGGAAATCTGTTCTTAGAAATGTGCTGTTGTGCTGTTGATAATGTATACAAACCTCTGCAGCCATTAAATTGATTATGTGATTTACAACAGGGGCGACAGTGGCTCAGTTGGTAGAGCATTGGCCTTTGAGCCTGAAGGTCATGGGTTCGAGCCCACCACAAGACCTTCTCCACCGACTCGCACTGATGTCTGCTGTTGTTGTATCTTTGGGCAAGACACTTACTGCCTGAAGCCCCCGTTGACAGATCAAGGGAAAGAAAATGGATGGATGGATTTAAAACCAACAAGTGCATCGATTAATTGCAATTATTTAAATAGTTGTTCCCCATAATTTAGTAAGTAAGTAATGTTTATTTATATAGCGCATTTTACAGACCAAGGTCACCCAAAGCACTTTACACTGTTCAGAGTTCAGATATTGTTCCAATCATTCCACACACGGTGATGACGGAAGCGTGTCGCCGAACACACTGGACCATCAGCTCCAATCAACACCATCCATTCACTCTCTCATTTACATTCATACCTATTGTGCATGTGTTTAGTGGTAGGGGAAACCGGAGCACCCGGAGGAAACCTACGCAGACACGGGGAGAACATGCAAACTCCACTCAGAAAGGCCCTGTTCCGACCAGGATTCGAACGAGTGCTATCCACTCAGCTACCGTGCCGCCGTGATTTATTACTTGTTTTTGAACCATAGACAACTTTAAACATGCTGAGATATTTTCTTAATTATTGAACATTTTAGACATACCTAATCCGAGCCAACTTTATTTAAAACACACTTTGAAAACAACAATTAACCAAAGATCATAGAGGACAACAAAAATAAAAACCCATTGCTTTTTTCATAGAGAAAAAACAAGATCCTTTTGCTTGTCCCATTGGCAAATCTTGTTTTAAGGCAGTCAAAGATGTTTCAAATTTTGCTAAACGCATCTTAATTTGAGCACATTTTGACTTTCTCCCTCTGTCCTGGTTCATGAAATAAAGACGGAGCTTAAACTAGCCCAGCGTTATGTAAGGGAGCAACACAGTGTCCACACAGCAGTCTTGTATAATTCAGCGGTCTGTTGGAATATGTGAAAAGCAAGCCTCCAATCCCCTTTAGGTCTAATTAAAAGACTATCTTCCTTTTTACAATGGGGGCTCCAGAGGATACAGAGTAATCACATATTAATAGAATGATTACAAAAGAAAAAAATCAAGCTCTTTTGATAAGAAATGAAGAGTTTTAACGCACAAAACCTTCCATTTAGCTCATATGCCAATCACACTGAGGAAGTTCATGTCGCTTAACGTTTTATAAGTGCTTTGAGAGTTTTAAATGTACAGGAAACTACAGTATTATGCGAAGGTCAATGTTTATGCAATTGTTAGAACTAGACTGAAAATGTCATTTGTGTGAGCAAATAGAGCTATTATTTGCGTCTTTCTCTGGAGATAATGGATTTTAAAACATATTGTATAACAGTCCAGGCTTCTTAAGGAAGTAATGTATTGTAGTATTTTTTTTGTTTATTTGAGCAATGTACTTCCTGCTCAAAAGGAGAACCCTGCAGTAAAAACAAACTTCCCATCTCAGAATTATCAAATTGAATATCTGATTGATTTACAATTATGTGTTTTCTGTTTTGTTTCTTTAAAAATCATGACACTATTTACTTTGTCATTTCATGTGGATAAGGTCGTGGGTTCGAGGCCACCACAAGACTTTCTCCACCGACTCCCGCTGATGTCTGCTGTTGTTGTATCCTTGGTAAGACACTAACCGGATGCCACAGTGGGGCGGCTGTAAAGTGCCAAACTGCTGTTGTGTCCTTAGGCAAGAAGTAGTAGTAATCTTTATTTATATACCGCCTTTCACAGAACAGAGTCACAAAGCGGTTTACAATTGTGGGCATTTGTCTCTCACTCCACACAGAGCTGGGAGCGGGGCCAGTACAGGAGGCGCATTCCAGATCTATTGTACATGTTTTTTAGTGGTAGGGGAACCTATGCAGACACGGGGAGAACATGCAAACTCCACTCAGATTCAAACCCAGGACCTTCTTGCTGTGAAGCGAGATTGCTATCCACTCAGCCACCGTGCCGCCCAAGACACTTCAACCCCATTGCCTAGAATGAGTCTGGTGTGTGTGTGAATGGCTGGTGGTGGTTGGAGGGGCCGATGGCACATACTGTACAGGTTGACTCGCTTCAGTCAGTGTGCCCCAGGGCAGCTGTGGCTACTGTTGTAGTTTATCACCACTGTGTATGGAGTGAAAGAATAATGACATGTGAAGCGTCTTTGGAGTGTCCAAAGAAGCACTATATAAAACCGATGCATTGTTATATGCGACTGTGAAGAATGTCTAGAATGCATTTATGGGCAATACTTTAGTTTAAAAAGGCAGAAAACTGCTCTGGGTGTGATGTCATACTGTACAATGACATACTGTTACAGAAGCTTTTAGACAGTTATATATTTGTGTCAGAAGTTCCTGATAGTCACATGGATGGATTTAAAAACAAAAAGGTTAAAACATGGCTTTGATTTAAGATATGTCCTGTTGTTGTGGTGTGTGACCATATACACCGTCAAAGCTCTTAATTTCCTCTGTATTAGCAGCAGTAAAGACGAGAATAGAAAGTCGTTTTTCGCCATATGGTGAGAAGGTAATCTGCTCAGCTGCGTGTTTAAGTAATGAACGTTTTTGTCCATATAATGGTTCATTTATTTTATCAGCCCATGAGTTCCATTAATCCTCCTTGTTTCAGTAGCTGTTAACTGGGGCTGTTCCAGTTTAGGAGAAATATACATTTTTGTTATGTTTGAACAATTCATTGCAGACGCCAAACGAGTTGGTGCCAATAGAATTATCTTCAGTACAGAGTGTGTGTGCTGAATCATTTCCTAGCTTTACATTCTTGGCTTTCCCAACAAACAATTGCTGAGAAACATTTAATACATAAGATAAGATAATGAAGCGTCCCATTCGTGTCTCCCACGTTTGACACTATGTCCTGAATATTATGTTTTCTCTCCCAGCTATTTGAAATGAGATCTCATAAACAATCTTTCTCACCAACTTGCATCCACGTTATATTCCATAAGAAGACAGTTTGGCAGCAGCGCATTTAGCATCGATCTGTTAAACTCTGCTCCAGGGCATTATGCTGCAGACGCGGAGGAACACGCTGCCGTTCATCGGATTAATTGCAGACAAAGTATAATTGAGCGAATAGAGCTGCATGGGCTGAATCTGACGAGGGACATCACATTACAAGCTAAGGTTGATTGATTAATAATCAATAATAATAATAAATATTATGCATTGGTTTTGCATTTTTTTGGACACTTCACGTCATTATTCATTCACTGTGTATACAGTGGTGATGAATCAATGCTGTAGCCTCAGCTGCCCCAGGGCACACTGACAGAAGTGAGGCACCCACCATTCACACACACACACACCAGACTCATTCTAGCCATTGTGGGTAAAGTGCTTTGCCTAAAA